AAGAACTTCTGATTTGAATACTGTGACTGTGCAAGAAGTGGTAGGATCTCTTAAGAGTTATGAGCTTAGATTGAGTAGACATGTTGATGAAATTACAAGCACGGAGCATGCTTTCTCCACTATGGGTCTTGTACCTAAAGCACAGAATAGGCCACTCACACAGGGAAATCACAGTAAGGGAAAGAAGAATTGGAAGTCTATGTCTAGGAAGTGGGAAAACAACACTCGACAGCCTGAGAGACAAGGTGAGATCACTGAGGGTGTTAAACAAAAGTGCAAGATCTGTGATAAGGCTCATCATGGAGAGTGTTGGTTCAAAGGAAAACCTAAGTGTCATAACTGCAACAGATTTGGACATGTAGTGAGAGATTGTAACCAGCCAAAGAAAAATCATACTGCAAATTATTTGAATCATGTTCAAGATAATGCAATGATGTTCTATGCCTGTCATAAGGCCTCTGTGCAAGAAAATAGTGGTGTTTGGTATCTGGACAATGGTTGCAGTAACCACATGACCAGTACTGAATCATTGCTGATCAACATTGACAGAAGTATAAGGTGTAAGGTGAAAATGGGCACATGGGAATTGGTTGACTCAGTTGGCAAAGGCATACTGATTGTGGAGACCAAAAGAGGCACTCGGTTCATACCAGAAGTAATGATTGTACCTGGTTTGGATGAAAATCTTCTCAGTGTAGGACAAATGGTTGAACATGGCTATTGGTTGTTGTTTGGTGATTTCATGGCCTGCATATTTGGAGATCGTGAACTGCAAGATCATATAGTCACTGTGAAAATGAAGGGAAATAGATGCTTTCCACTAATGTTTAATCATGTGGATCATATTGTAGCAAATATTGCTACCACTGAAGGTAACACATGGAAATGGCACAGAAGATTTGGGCACCTAAACTATGACAGCCTGAGAATGCTACAAGAAAGGAGTATGGTGTATGGTCTGCCATATCTAAAGGAGTACAATCAGGTGTGAAGGGTGTGCTACTGGAAAGGCTCACAGAGAGGCTTTTAGCAAAGAACAGAAATGGAGAGCAAAGTTGCCCTTAGAACTTGTACACACAGATGTGTGTGGACCCATGAGTGAGACACTTGGAGGTAGTAGGTATTTTCTTACCTTCATAGATGACAAGTCCAGAATGTGTTGGGTCTATTTTCTGAAGTGCAAATATGAGGTATTCAGAATTTTTAAAATGTTCAAGGCCATGACTGAATTACAAACTGGTTACAAACTGAAGAAACTCAGAAGTGACAGAGGAGGAGAGTACACATCTCTAGAATTTGAAATTTTTTGTGAAGATGTTGGTATTGAAAAGCAACTCACTGTTGCTTATTCTCCCTAGCAAAATGGTATTGCTGAGAGGAAGAATCGTACCATAGTAGAGATGGCAAGAACCATGCTCTATGAAAAAAAATTACCACTCAAGTTCTGGGGTGAAGCAGTTCACACTGCTGTCTACTTGCTTAACAGGTGTCCTACCAAAGCACTAGAGAACAAGACTCATTTTGAAGAATTCTGTGGTAGAAAACCAGGAGTAAAACACTTGAGAATCTTTGGTTCTGTTTGCTACACTCATGTGCCAACCCAGTTAAGACAGAAACTGGATGAAACTGGACAGAAATGTGTATTTGTTGGATATGGGACAAGAGAAAAGGGTTACAGGGTGTATGATTTGAAACACAACAAGATCATTGTCTCAAGGAGTGTTATTTTTTATGAAGATGCTGCTCTTAATTGGGAGAATATGGAAACTGTGCATTTCTCAGTACCTTTCTTAGAAGCTAATAAGGGTATAAGCATAACTGAGATAGAAAATGGTGTGTGTGAAGAAACGAATATTAGTTCCTCTGATTTATCTTGCCCAAATACAAGAAGTGAGTATGTTTCCAGTGTACACAATGATGCTCCTAACACTGTGAATATGGAGAGTGAAATTCCACTCACAGAACTTATGACAACACACCAAAGAAGTGGAGAGATCTGAATGAAGTGTTTGCTCAGTGTAGACTCAGTGTCATTGAACCTGAGAACTACATTGAAGCTTCTCAAGATGAAGCTTGGAAGAAAGCAATGGATGAGGAGATTACTATGATTGAGAAGAATGACACTTGGAGATTGGTTGATAGGCCAAGTGACAAACCAATTGTTGGGGTAAAATGGATCTTCAAAACCAAATTGAATTTGGATGGCACTGTACAAAAACACAAGGCAAGATTAGTTGCCAAAGGGTACACTCAAAAGCCCGGAATTGATTTTAATGAGACGTTTGCACCTGTGGCTAGATTGGACACTATAAGAACACTAATTGCTTTGGCAGCACAGAAAGGGTGGAAACTGTACCAGTTAGATGTAAAGTCTGCTTTCCTGAATGGGATCCTTGAAGAGGAAGTGTATACAGATCAGCCAGATGGGTATATTGTCAAGGGAGAAGAACACAAAGTATATAAGTTAAAAAAGGCCTTGTACGGTCTAAAACAAGCTCCCAGAGCTTGGTACAGCAATATTGATACTCATTTGCTGCAGAGTGGATTTAAAAAAAGTCCAAGTGAGGCCACCTTATATGTGAAACATGTGGATGGACAGGGAACTCTGATTGTCTCTATATATGTGGATGACATAGTTTATACTGGAAGCTGTTTAGAAATGATTGAAGATTTCAAATGTGATATGATGAACAAGTATGAGATGTCCGACTTAGGCTTGTTGCATCATTTTCTTGGAATTGGAGTAATCCAACAAGAAGGGAGTATCTTTATTCACCAGAAAAAGTATGCACTGAGTTTACTAGACAAGTTTGGTTTGAAGAGCTGCAAATCTGTCTCAATACCCTTACCTCCCACGGATAAGCTAAGGAAAGGTGATGGGAGTGAAGCTGCAGATGAAGAATTGTATAGGAAAATTGTCGGCAGCCTTCTATACTTAACTGCAACAAGGCCTGATATCTTGTACTCAGCGTGTGTACTTGCCAGGTACATGCACTGTCCTTCCATCAAACATCTTGGCACTGCAAAGAGGATCCTCAGATATGTGCAAGGAACTGTTGACTATGGAATTAAGTATGAAAAGGGAAATGCAGCTCTACTCATAGGATTTTGTGACAGTGATTGGAGTGGAGATGAAGATGACATGAAGTCCACATCAGGGTATGCTTTCAGCTTTGGCAGTGGTGCATTTTCTTGGGCTTCTGTAAAGCAACAGAGTGTTGCACTCTCAACTGCTGAAGACGAGTATATGAATGCCTCAGAAGCCACCACTCAAGCTACATGGCTGAGATTTGTGCTGCATGATTTTGGTGAAGAATTGATCGAACCAACTCCTTTGATGTGTGATAACACATCAGCAATTGCAATGTCAAAGAATCCGGTATTCCATCAGAGGTCTAAACATATCAAGAGGAAGTTTCATTTCATCAGAGATGCAATTCAGGAAGGAACAATTGACCTGCAATACTGCAAAAGTGAGGAGCAACTAGCTGACATTTTCACCAAAGCGCTTGCTAAAGACAGATTCTGTGCTTTGAGGGATAAGCTTGGGGTAATCTCAGTTAAGACCTTAGAAGGGAGTGTTACTTGATTAAGGTCTAAACTGTATTTTCCTTACTTTAGCAAGTGTAAATAAATCAGTTAGTGATCAAGGGCTGAGATTAGATAATATTGTGCTAGGCTCAGATGTAAGCATGTGTCAAGATCTCATAGGGTCTTGTAATGAATGGTATGATGAGCTCATAGGCTCACGTAGCTTCTCTCTCCCTAGTAGTCATGTAAATGTTGAGGAAAGAATGAATATATGCAGTAGAGCATTTCTTTGGCTCTCACTGATATATTTTGAGAACTCTCTCTGCCTCTTCACTTTCTCTCTAAACTTCTTCTTCCTATACACATTTCTAAAATACATCACTGCATAACAGGAAAGTCCAACAATTAAGTGTTTTCCTTATCAAAACGCACAAAAAGGTACTCACAAATCTGTAAGAGACGTTGTTTTACTAACATCGCTGCCACCAAAGGTACTCAGAAATTGTAGAAACGACACCACCAAGATGATTAATGGATTGGGATTTCGAATTCGTTGTTATATTCATCGGGTTTTCAAATTAGTACACCAATATGAGTATTGGGTTTTCAAATTAGTACACCAAGATGATTAATCCACAAAACCCTCAGTGGGTTTTCAATATAATTAATCCACACCACAGCCATGGCGTGGAGACGGAGGACTGGGACGAAGACTTGTCGGGAATGGAAGGTGGGATCGCTGGTGTTTTTTTTTTTTTAGTATTTAATTTTTTTTGAATTTTTGAATTTTCTAAAATAAATTAGATGTCCAACTGTGATAAAAATTATACATGTCAAATTTTAAATGGAAGTACCACAAATAATGTGGTAGTACTGTACTACTTAATAATTTCTCATCTTAAACAAAATTGAGGATATACTATAAAACCAATTGGCTATATGAGAAGTAGTCCAACTTACTTATAAACTCATACAAGGCCTCTTCTTCCATCAATATAGGATTCATTCTCAATAGCCACCCTCATATGTGGCGGATTTTAAAGTCAAACATGTGGACATGACAAACGAGAAGAAATTTAAAGTTTCATCGTAAAACCAATTGACAATATTATAATATAATCTTTTATAAGTCCATGCAAGATCTCTTCTTTCTGTTTGATTCATTCTCTTCATAGCCATCATATAAAGACATAAAAACGGCAACGGGTTCAGAAGGAGGAGAGAATCGAACAAGAAAGAGCCCAAAGAACAAGAAGCTAAAAAACAAACACGAAAAAACAAGCCAGTGACCACAATTACAGGAAGCTAAAGAACAAACCCGCACATCAGGAAGCAACTGATTGACCAGTCCAATTTTAGAGGTTGCGAGACATTCTCAGAAAGAAAGTTCCATATATACTACGTATTTAGCAAAAATAAGAAGCTAAGGGAAAGAGAATAAGGGAGAAGACCACATTCATGATTGCAATATGCATTTGCTTCTTCGTGTGATCATAATTTCGTTGTTATGGCCCATCAGCATAGTGGCAGCATCATCATCAGATAAAGTTACACCGGTATTAAAGTCTGACTGCGAATCTCATTGCGGAAATGTTAGCATCCCATACCCTTTTGGGATTGGACCTAGCATCAATTGTTACTTGTACGATTGGTTTGAAATAGACTGCAAGAACTCTACCAGCGGTCCCAAGCCTTTTTTGAAGAACACCACGATAGAGGTGCTGGATATTTCAGTTGAAGGCACGCTTCGAGTTGAGCATCCTGTTAGGTTCTTCAACAGAACAATGGTTCCCCAATTGCCAAATTTTACAGGAAGCCCTTTCTTGTGCTCTGAGGAACACAATCAATTCACTGCAGTCAGTTGTGGCTTGTTTGCCTTTGTAAAGTCATACCCGGACCAGCGTGTTGGTGGTGGATGTATGTCAACTTGTGATACGAGTGCTGGGCCTGAAGACAACTATGGATGTATTGGTATTAACTGTTGCCAGATTGCGCTTCCCAGGAATCTCAGTTTTTGCTCCTACGTACAGTTTTTGCTCTAGCATGCATTCAATCCATGGGAGGAACGAAGAGATGGAATCAGTATTGAAACTCAACTTGGAAACAACCAAACAAAATAAACCAGACGTTTCGACGTTTTCTTTGGAGAACGGAATAACATAGACAGGGCAAAGATGCCAAAGTATTACAGCAAGCCTACCCTGAGGCAAGCAGTCAACACAAACTACTGGGAAAGAGTAGTGTAAGGAGGTACAGGGAATCACGACGCCGCATCTAATGCTAGAAGCGTCCCTCCTCACACTACCTAATCATCTAGGGGGGACAGGGAAGGCCGTCATTACACAAAACATGTACCAGGGAAGATGGCGGTCTATCGACCCAAATTACATCACATACTTCCCTACAACGCTGCGACGTCAAAAGGTCTGCAGCCAAGTTGACCAATCTTGGAACCCAAGATCAGCGGCAATTTTGAAAAGACCTCCCCATCCTGTAGCAATTCACAAGAATGGGAAAAGCTTCCCAACTGCCCAACTTTGCCCTATCCCAAAGGTAAGAGATGGATTCGGAGGAGTCAGATTCAATGATTACAGAATTCCAGCCCTTAATAATCCCCAACTTACAATCATACAGGATAGCCAAAGCCTCTGCCATTGCTACACTAGTCGCCTTGACACCATATCTGCATGCCACCAAGAACCTCCCCTCGCCATCCCTCGCCACCACACCCGCAAACCCCATACTCCCCCCTGCCATCCAACTTGCATCCACATTTATTTTCACAAAGCCCTGACACGGAGGACACCAATGGGTGATATTCTCCGAGATAACAGAGGAGGGCAATGTCCGAATACCTGTAGAAGAAGTAGCCTCCTTGAAAGCATTAACCGAGTGGGAGGTGGCTGCCAATACCTGCCTTGGGTATATGGGTTTCTGGTTGAACAGGAAGTTGCACCCGGCTAACCATATCTGCCAGCGGGAAAAAGCAATATATGCTAACCACATACGCTTCTCTTCCTTCGAACCAATGACTGAATTAAATGTTTCCTGCAGCCACATCGCCCATGTGGTAGTGTCCATCCTGATAATCTTAAGTTCATATTCCCCCCAAACCAAACCACTTCCACCCACGGGCATTGTAGGAAGAAGTGTTCATTACAAGCACAAATACCCTCCTGCTTTTATGTCGGGTGGGTGGCCTCCCCTTTCTTCTTCTCCCTGTCATCCCTTCAGACACCCCACAGCTTCCAGATCTGACCAACTGACAGGGGAAAGGTATATAGTACACTTAGGTAGCAGGGAGGAAGAACTGCGAGATTTAGGTAGACGGAGGCTTGCGGGTGGGCGTCACCGACGAGTTTTTTCACGATTAAGAGGAAAATAGGAGGTTTTTTTAGTAGGTAAATTAGTAATTGTACCCAACTTTTGGTTATAATTACCCTAAATTTATAAAAATGGCTATTATTCTATCTGGATCTAAATTTTGATTATTTTTCCAAATTTCCCAATCAAAATGACTACTAGCGTGGGCCCTGCATAAGATTTTGGGTATTTTTTATGGAGGTAGATTGTCTGCCCTCTTGTTTGGGTGTCCTTCCTATCCACTCTTATTTGTGCGGTCACGGTTAAACCACGTCAACATTTTATATTCTTATTACTTTTTGTCTTATTATTCCAATAAAAAAAATTAATATAAAATGTTGACGTGACTTAACCGTGATCGTACAGGAGGGGATGAGAAGAGCACCCAAACAGGAGGGTAAACAATCTGCCTCTATTTTCTATTTGGGTCTTTTTAGGGTTCTGTTCTTGAGTATTTTTTTATTTGGACATCTTTTGGGTTTTGAATAGGGGTAAGCTTTTGTTATTAGAAATTTGGGGATTCTCCAAGTTGCGAGGAGCACCAACAATCGTGAAGAGGAGAGAGTGAGGAACTTGCCAGATCTTCTTTGTAAGGATCTCGATGATCTTTAAGCTCATCGTATATCGTGTGATAAAAAATTATTGTAAATTTTTTTATTTAAATTTGAATATAAACAGTACCTAACGAAAACTGGATGCACGATGTATGATGAACGGATGTGATGGAAGATCTCTGGAATCCTCACAAAGAGAATCCGGTAAGGATCCTCTCTCAAGAAGAGAGGGCTATGCCCTTTTTTTACATATATTAATTTTGATATTTTAATAGAAAAGAAATTGAAATACAATAGTAATTTATTGTTAGTCTAGCTTCTTAGTCTGACACAATACCAAATGTTTCATTAAGTTAGTCATGCTTCATTAAGTTAGTTTGACTACACAATTTAGTATTGAAATCATTATGTACATTATACACGCACATATCGTCCTCCATCTGTGCGATTAAAATTTTATTTTATTTTTTTGACTGAACGATAATGTTAGTAAGCTAAATCCTCTACCACGAGTGGTCCAGTCACGTGTTAAATCCTCTACCACCAGCCATGTCTGACGGCTTTATATCTACATTTCCAAGCAAATGACAAAAGAAGACTTGAAAAGAGGGATATTTGTAAGTCAATCACCGAGTGGCAAGTAAAGATCTGTTTGGGGGCCTTTTACTTTTAAGTGCCATCGTTTCATTAGTATTTTGCAAACTCTATAACACCTTTAGCAAGCTCCATGTGTTTCCTTTTTAGCACGAAGCAGAGGAAACTGGGGAAGAACCAGAAAAGAGGAATGCAATATAGTTTGCTAGTTCAAGTGGCACCGTTCATTGTGTTGTTATGGTGTTTAAGCACAACAGCGTCGGGAACAGAAGCACCGACGGCAAAGCCTAACTGTTCAAGAGATTGCGGAGGTGTTAGCATACCATACCCTTTCGGGATCGGACCTAACAGAGATTGTTACTTTGATGAAGGGTTTGAAATAAGCTGTAACAAGACAACCGGGTACGCGCCTGTCTTAAGACAAACCAGCCTTGAGGTACTGAATATTTCTATTGCCGATGGCACAATTCAGGTCAAAAACCCTGTCGCTTTCTTCTGTGGTGGGAAGAGCGGTCGTCAACCGGCTAATTTGACGGGAACCCCTTTTGTATACTCCGAGAGACACAATAGATTCACTGCAGTGAGTTGTGGCTACCTTGCGATGGTGGGCTCAGATGAGTATCTTGTTGGTGGGTGCAGGTCAATTTGTGAGGGGACTAGTATAAACTATGGTAACTGTGAGGTTGGTATAAATTGTTGCCAGACTACCATTCCACCGCATCTCAGTGCTATCAGTACGGACATAATAAAAGATAATAGAGGAAGAGGAGATGATTGTAATAATGCTTATGCATTCCTTGTCGACAAAAACTGGTTTAGGAGCATTGCAAGTGTTTCCAATTTCAGTGTCAATGGGGATACAGAGAACGTTCCAGTGGTTCTACGGTGGAGCTTAAACTATGACAATACTTCTGCCAAATTATTTCACAGATTCATCGGTAGAAATGAGTCAAGGGCAGACGATGATCCAATGCCCTGTTGCACAATTCTAAATGCCACTTCCTTGTACAACCGGTCAAGGCTTCTATGCTCTTGCCCTCCGGGTTTCGAAGGAAACCCCTATCTTGGCCACCCTTGTTACGGTAAACCAACTCTCTACCATATCTTATAATTTTCAACCACATCCACAAATTAGTTTACAGTATCTGTTTTTTTTTTGGGTCCCTGCATTGCAGACATTGATGAATGCACAGATCAGAAAATATGTCGGAATGGAGGAGCCTCATATTGTATAAACTATCCCGGGGGTTACGCATGCTACATCGTGGGTGAAAAGACAAGGGTCAAGCCGATCCTTGTAGGTATGTATGTATCAGTCTTCTAATTGATTCATATATGAAAGATGATCATAGTGTAAGGATAATAATGACATAGGCAAAAAGTATGCAGGAAAAAGTGGAGTCAAAGGTGGAATTTACTTATTGAACATGTAAAATTTACTCACAGAAGACCTACACGAATTGGATTTATAAAAGTTCCACATGTTAAAAGAACACTTTTTAAAATCAAAACAGAACTCAATCAAGTACGTACTCAAGTGATGCAGTCATAGAGTAATCTATAAAACTTCAATTTAACGTTACGCAGGTCTTGGTGCGGGCGTGGGACTATTGTTACTGCTTATCAGCGCGTGGTGGATACACAAGGTCCTGAAGAAAAGGAAGAACATAAAACGCAAGCAAATTTTCTTCAAACGAAATGGTGGTTTATTATTAGAGCAACAATTATCTTCAGGTGAAGTTAATGTGGAGAAAATCAAGTTGTTCAAGTCGAAGGAGTTGGAGAAGTCTACCGACAATTTCAACGTCGATAGAATTCTTGGGCATGGAGGCCAAGGTACTGTGTACAAAGGCATGTTGGCTGATGGTAAAATTGTTGCTGTAAAAAAGTCCACAATTATTGATGAAAGCCAACTTTCAGATTTCATCAATGAGGTTGTAATTCTTTCACAAATCAACCACAGACATGTTGTTCAACTATTGGGTTGCTGCTTGGAGACTGAAGTTCCGCTTTTGGTTTATGAATTTATTCCGAATGGAACACTTTCCCAGTATATCCATGAGCAGAATGAGGAGTTTCCACTTACATGGGAAATTCGCTTACGAATTGCCACAGAAATTGCAGGAGCCCTTTTCTATTTACACGCCTCAGCTGCCTTTCCCATTTATCACAGGGACATCAAGTCTACCAACATACTCTTGGATGCAAAATACAGAGCGAAAGTTGCCGATTTTGGAACTTCAAGATCAGTTGCCATTGACCAAACTCACCTTACCACACTTGTACATGGCACATTTGGATACTTGGACCCGGAATACTTCCAGTCAAGCCAATTTACGGATAAAAGTGATGTGTATAGCTTTGGAGTGGTCCTTGTTGAGCTATTAACAGGACAAAAACCAATTTCTTCTAACCGGTCACAAGAACAAGGCAGAAGTCTTGCTAAATACTTCATTATTTCGATGCAGGAAGATCGTCTGTTCGACATTCTTGATGCTCAAGTTGTGAAGGGAGGGTCTAAAGCAGATATCGCAATAGTTGCTAACCTTGCAAGGAGGTGCTTGAATTTAAGCGGACGAAAACGCCCTACAATGAGAGAGGTCATGGCAGAACTGGAAGGAGTTCAAATGGCAGAAAAGGCTACTTCTCACGGTGGAAAGAATTACGAAGAGGTTGAATATCTGAGGACTGAATCAGTTGAGCCATGGGATGTTATTTCAAGCTCAACTGACACAGGGCCTGCTGTGGATGGTGGTGCTTCATCACGAATGCATGAAATCCCTCTCTTACCTTTCAAGTCACTGTGAACAATAATTCTATATTTCTAAATTTTAAATATTGTAATGAATGTTCCAGTTTCATATATTTAGGTTTTTCATTTTTTTCTTGAAACTCTTCTGTCAGAGTGAATGAGACTACAGTTTGAACCTTCGGATCCTTAGGCCACATATCAGTGATGCCTGGCTGATTAACTGGTGATTTTTTTTTTTCTCACACATGAATGGAAACAGAAAACTAATCTTAACAGATCAACAGTCAATTAGCTAATTGATCCTATAAGTCATACTCAACAAATACTTGTCCTCTAACCAATCTTCTACCTTGCCTGTTTTTGTTATATAAGCAAAATATAAAAATAGTAAGCTCAAATAAAACTCTGGTTTTTTCCTTTCTTCATTCAAGCAATTGGGGAAGCGGAACTGAACTTGGGACCTCAAGTGCAGGAGTTGAATCATCTTAACCAACTGAACTACAAGTCCGTTACAGTTAAAGCTAAAACTTTGTTTCTTAATGTGGCTTGATAAGGCAATATGTGAAATGAGCTTTGTTGAAAGCTAAAGACAACATGTGTTTCACATTGTTGATCTTGATATTGTTGAAGGCTAAAGACAACATGAGATTTATACTCGCAACAAGACACCCCAAACAAAACTTCTATGTTAAAGTTATAGAATTACCCTGTTCCTAACTAGCCTCTGATCGAACTAAATCCCCAGATTTTAGCATCAACATCTGAGAAAATGGTTATATGGGATTAGATTTATATTTCACTGCCTGAAAACTTTATATTACACAGGGACATCAAATCTTCCAACATACTTTTGGATGAAAATACAGAGCAAAAGTTGCTGATTTGGAACTTCAAGATCAATTTCTAGCGACCAAACTCATTTGACAGCACATGCTAATGGTACATTTGGTTACGTGGATCTCGCATATTTCCTAAATTGATTTACGGAGAAAAGTGAAGTGTATAGCTTTGGAATCGTCCTTGTCGATCTCTTGACTGGACAAAAACCAATTCGAGCAATAACAAGGTCACGGCAAGGAGATGAAGATTACACAAGTCTTGTCACATATTTCACTACTTGGATGCAAGAAGATCGTCTATTTGACGTTGTAAGATGTTTGAATATGAATGGAAGAAATCGCCCTATAACGAGAGAAGTTACAACCGAGTTGGAGGCCATTCAAATGTCAGAAACAACTTGTTCAAAATGAAACTTGAGCATTAAGGTGGTGTTGGTGAAGAGAACGTTATTGTATGTTTCATTTGCTATCATAGAAAATTACATATGCTCTTTTGGACTATAATCCTCTGACTATTTATTTATTTTACTTTGTATCTACAAGGAAGTTAGGGCAAATCGACTGGTCAAGCATGGCAGGTAGATTTTAAAATGTATATGTGCATATTTCCACACAAACTACAAAAGTAAGTGCCCTACTTGTATGCTTCTAAATTATTTTCAATCTAAAGTTCTGAGTGCGAGGAAGCGAATAAATGTCTTACATTAGAAGTTTACCAAATCTTGCATGAGTCCGGCTATTTCTTATGTTGTCAATTAATTTTATAGTGGAATATTAACTTACTTCATGGTATCAAAGCATAGGCCTACATTTGAAGCTCAACGGTCACACTTGCTTAACAACACCTAATTTATATTATCCACGTGTTAGACTTTAGGTTTGAACTTCGCAATAGGAAAGGTTCCATTGAGAAACTAACATCTTTCCCTTTGTGTTCCACTAAAATCTAACAGCGCATTACTCGGGCAATATGTTTGAAGATTTATTCCATGTCCAGAAACTACTGATGATGGTTTCGTGCATGCCATGGCGAAACCTTAATGATCGACCAACTCATATATCATTATCACTACAAGAAAAATGAGCTTTGGGTGCAAAACGAATGACACAAATAAGAATTTTGTGTCTATTTAACCACCCAAAGGTTGAAACAGTTCCCATTCCATAGAGGGCCCAATGTAAAAAAAAAAAAAAAAAAGAAGATGCAAAACAATAATGGGCACGGAAATTGTGCCGAGTGGGATCAGATGACAACATTTTTACTGAAGATGGGCACAAAAAACATTTTGTGTCTATAAAAAAAATTTGTTAGCAACACTGTATGTGTTTTTTTTCGTTTGTCTTTACCTCTAGCACACCAAAAAATTAAATTTATAAAATTGTGGTAAATAATGGTATGGAGCTGTTTATTACTGTGTAATGTTTTAGCCTCAAAATAAGTTAGCAATAATGTTGTTCAAATTTATTTTTGGCGAGAATTGAATCTCAGACCTCTCACTTACAAATAAAGAAAAATACCACTAGACCGTAGTTCTAAGTGGTGTGTTTTAGATTTACAATGGATCATTTCCATCTGCAATGAATGTTTGTTAGATTCTTATCTTTTCAACTGTTTTTTAGATTGTTATCTTCCTACAGGTATGTTTTTGATACTTAGTGACACATAACCAAAAATTGTGTCCTTAGGATCATCGATCTATTCAACCATACAAAGGTGTAGTGGGTCTTCAGATAGACAAATGACTTAATAATTATAAATTCCTTTTTATGACACTAATGTTAAAAATTGTGTCCAGTAAATATTAATAAATAATAAATCACTCTACTTTCCGTACAAAGGTGTAATGGGTCTTTAGATTGACAAATGACTTAATAATTATAAATTCCTTTTTATGACATTAATGTTAGAAATTGTGTCCAGTAAATATTAATAAATAATAAATCACTCTACTTCCCAAATAGCAAAAGAATATGTTGGCACAATTATGGATTTGTGCCTTTATTCTAGTATAAAATGTCCGCACTCCTTTACTAATTTGTCTATGGAAAATTACAAGGTTGCTTCATACACTTGTGCTTCTTTTGAATTTGATCAAGTTCTGCATCATTGAGAATGGGGAACAGGCGACGTCGCAGAGTTAGAATTAGAATCGAATCTCCAGTATCACATTCGTTTATTGCTTCAAACATTACAACATCAAATTCCACTATGAATCCTCCAGCTCGATGTCCATGACAACATGTTAATGTCGGGCGCATACCTCATTCTATTGATAATCAGTACATTCTTACTACTGTTGTTGATGTTCACCTTGGCTACGCATTACCTTCCAGTAACGGATGCATACGTGCACCTCAAGGATGTGTGTTGCTAGCATGGGCATACCCGGGTAGGACAAAACAATACCCTATCAATTTGGTTTCTGTTGAAACAACAACTGAAGAGTTTACTAGTGGGTTATCATACGACACATCCGCATATCTCAAAACTTGTAAGTATGATAACCCACTAGGTAAGTATCAAAAACATATCTCAAAACTTGTATCAAAGCTCGAACCATCTTCATAACCATAATAAATCCATATCCATAAATCCACCATATTTGTAAATTCGTAATATAAATTATATTAAAAAACCATAGAAACCAATATATGCAAAACCAATAATTCATTCTCTTTAATAAAACATAATTTTGATAAATAGTAATTATAGAAGTCTGGAAAACATAATATAAAGCATATTCAATGCATGAAATATGTAATGCATGCTAGGTTAATGATTTATAAAAAATATAGTTAAGAAGGGATCCACTCACTAGTTTTTCCATTGCCTGAAGTCGCTTGAACTATCGAGGATGTAATCATTTCCTACTAACACGCCTAAACACAAATAGGGACCTTTTAGTAAAGCTCTACTTAAACGTTATAATTTTGGAAACGGATGGCGGATTCGGATTTGGCACGTCGAGGAACCTTGGGTTTTTCCTCCATGCACCGCCGTGTGTGGCGGTCGGCCACCCTAACTCGCCGGAAAATCCAACAACTCTAAAAATTCTCAAATTTTACAGGAAGGAAGATCTCGATGAGAGGAACAAGTTTCATACCTGAGACTAAGGCCAATTTGGCCGGGAAAAGCCCCATTTTCACTAGAACCAGTTAGAAACCCTAAAAATGGTGTTTCTTGATTCGTCCTCAAATCGACTCTGACGCTCCAACCAATGATTGAGAATTGTTCTTGAGATCAAGCGAAGTTGTTTGCTTGTGGGGATCGATGGGATTGCATTCAGAAATGGCAAATCGCCGCCTAGGAACTCACGGGGTTGCCATCGGAGCTGACGACTTTGAACTCCATGAAATAGGGCTTATTTTCTTCGATTTTGGTGTGAAACCTGAAGAAGGAAGGCTGTGGAGTTGGTTCTAGGTGGTTAGGAGGAACCGGGTCAAGGGTGATCCGGTGCTTCTCCTCTCTCTCATTTCCCCTCCTTTCTCTCCTCTCTAATTGGTCACTTTCTCTCTTATATCTGATTAGGCTTCCCGCCCCTCCTTTCTCTCCTTTATCTCTTCTCCCAACCGTCCGTTTCTTCTTTCATTCAATTTGGGCCACGCACGTGGCTTTCCAGATTTTGCTCCAGAAATCTGGAGCTTTCTAGAAAATAATCAATTTACTAAAATGCCCCCAACTTTAAACGTTAATATCTCCTTCGTTATAACTCCAAATCACGTTCCGTTTACGCCCACGCATTCATAGCAACGAGTACTATCCAAATACACCAAGAAAATGATTCTTATGTGACATACAAGACGGTCAAAAAAGTCAACGTCTTTGCCTCGAAGGCATTTTTCGTAATTTCACATTTTAAAATTATAAAAATCATAATTTTTTGAGACGGTTCGTTACACAACTTCCATTGCACATACTAGTTATTGTTTTCATGTATTTTGAGGGAAAGATGCAAGTGTCCAGAAATGTTTGCGGAGGAGCAAAGAAAGGGTGAAGTGCAAAGCTTTCTCGAAAGATGCGATTGTCCATAAATGTTTGTTTTCAGTTGTTTTATTTATTTATTTTTTTTAACTGGTATAAAATTGTAAAGTTATAGTTTTGTTAATATATATTTTGATGGATGATTTTGAATATCTTTGTAAATTGTAATATTCTAGATGCTTGTGGGCTATTTTAATTTATGAAAAAAATTAATTTTTTTGTTTAGCCTCAATCTCAGTTTTTAGGCTATTTTGAATTTTGAAAATTTTATAGTTTTTAATTTAAATATATATATATATATCTTGCTGGGCAAAATGATAAAAATTGTGCAAAGGTTCAAACATAGATGGGTAAAGTCATCTGACAGCTTTGTCAGAACTGAGGCACAAAAACACTTTTATTTGTGCTTACCTTTTTTAGCACCAACACCATATTGTGCTCGATAATCAAAGGACACGCCCATAGAGGGCACAAATAATGTGTTAGTTGCTGCAGTGTTGCTATTGATCAATGGGCACCTATGTTGGTGCCCTTAGGTCTCATAGGGCACAAATAACTTTTTATGTGCAGTGCCCATATTTTTTGTAGTGTATGAAAACATTATACACTTGGAAATGTACGTGGTGCTTCTTCACCGGGCCCCTTCAAAAGTTCAATTAAACGTCCTTGGTAAACCTGAGTGGTCATTAATTAGCACTTAATGTTATAACAAATTAACAATGCAACCCCGCTGACTTGATCACCCAAGTCATAGATCATCTCATATTTAAGATAGAAAATACATTCACTGTAAAAATAGTATGCAGAAGGTCATCTTATAGTGGTCAAGTCCGGCTGCTGGCGGCTACTTAATTTTCATACTGTAATGTTTCCACACTAGGAACCATAACAGAAGTCCTGACCAACGAAACGAATAATTCCCTTCCTGGCCTAAATAACCAGGGTCTTATGCACCGTGGAAGAGCTTTCCATTGTAATTGGAGGAAAATATTTGGCTCCTTCAGTCTTTTCATTCTTAACAATCACAGTTTGACATGTGTGCATAATTTTTCTATGTGTATTTGATGAGTACCTTTACTATGTGTCAAATTTTTATTTGCAAGAACGAGGAATGGCTATGTTCGTCTGAAATCAGTCTCGGCTACCGAGAATTTGGGGATCTTGGTTCTAGTGTGTGTGCGGGTGTGCCAACTTGCAGCTAAGGCTAAGCGAGTAAAGAGAAGTTCATGATTTTGACTGCGCTTTGGTTTTGATTTCTTTCTGTACGTTACAATACTCTAAGGGGGCGTTTGTTGCACCTCCTTAAGAGGGACTGGCTTGGACTGTCTTAAGCAAGACTATAATCCCATGTTTGGTAAGTTGTTGGACTAACATAAGTGGGACTCGCCTCGACTACGAGTCCCACCGCACTTCACTAAAGCCGTTTATCTAATCCCAAGCTTTCGCTTGGTATTAACAGGGACTAGAAAGGAAATGAGGCCTACGTCCAATTCCCAATTTTTGCTTGCTAAACCCAGACACCCAGTCCCTTTGCGCTCCACCTTCTTCTCCGGCGCCGTCACCATAGCCAGGCTATCACCGTAAGCCTAGGGAGGACGACGACTGCCGCTGCAGGAAAACTTCGATTGATTTGGCGGTGTGGGTTTAATTTTGAGCACCGACCATGGCGTCCTCCTCGAGGCCTCAAGCGCTCCGCTAGGAAGATGCGCCGGCAAGTTTGTTGCTTTCTTCTGCAAGAGCGATTGACGTCGATTTGCAAAAATTGACGACGCCTCTGTAAATTGAAAAAAAAAATTGGGATTTTTCTGTGTTTGATTTGAAGAGAAATAAATTAAAAGAAGAGAAGGTTTGAATTGAAGAGAAAGAAAATGAAATGAAGAGAAAGTATGGGTTTGATTTTTCTGAGTTTGATTTTTAATGGAATGGGAGCAATCTGGCATGCCAAGAACAGGAAACGTATGAAAGAAAGAAAGAAGAGAAGTAGAGAGACAGGGGAGAGAGGGAGTCAAATTAAAAAAGTGTGTATAATAATAATAAATTATTAAAAAAATGAATTAAAAAATGACAGAAAAATATTTGATCTACAAAAATAATTGAGTCCGTGATTTAGTCCGACACTGCACCAAACGCTTCACTAAATTAATCCAGCTTAGTCTAGTCTAAGCCAATCCAGCTTAGTCCTTGAAGCTAGTCCAGTCCGAGATAGTCCGGCGCAACAAACGCTCCCTAATTGCAATAAAACAATATGCAAGAACGTAAATTGCAAAAAAATAAATTGTAAGAAAATAAATCACGAGAAAGTAAATTGCGATAAAAAATTATTATTCAAAGTGCGCGAAAATTATTTTTACTCTAAGTGAAGAAAAAAGAATTAAGCTAGGTGCTAAAAAATTATTTGCGGGAATAGGTTACATTTTGAATAATAAAAATAAGATAAAAGCACGCAGGGTGCAAAGAAACTAAAAAGATAAGTTGAATGGGTTGGTTGAGAGCATCCAATTCTTAATGTCTTCTCTTGATTTCCTCCTCATCTTTGACTAACTTTCGTTACAAATTCAAAATATACTTGGCTTCTTTGTCTTCAATATTTTTGCAATCAATTTCCTCCTTGAATATCATGGCTGACTTGAGTAATTATTACTCTATTCAAGGTGATGACATGCCATGTAGAAGGTGTCAAATATGGACCCGGCTTCTCTTATTTTGTGCGGTTACGGTTAAGCCACGTCAACATTTTATATTGATTTTTTTTATAGAGATAATAAGATAAAAAGCAATAGTGATATAAAATGTTGACGTGGCTTAACCGTGACCGCACAAATAAAAGAGAATGAGAGTGTATGAGAACTTGGAGAGCAGAGAAGCCAGGTCCGTCAAATATGGGTCCAACCAGGCTCATTCATGGGAAGGGAGCCAAGAAGTGCCCATAAATCTGCGGTGTTGCTTTACATTCTATTTCACTTTAGCCTCTGGGTCAGGGTGTGTTTGGTTTTTCTTGTTTTGAAATTAAATGAATAAGCTTTGATAACTTGTACGTACTATTGTGGACATGAGCGACTTGACTGCAAAATTTATGGACGAACCTTCGAAAATACTTTTCTAAGGTAACAAGAACTATCTCTGCACCTTCCTAACAGTGTTTTCTTTTAGCTTTATCATGGGTAGTTGAGAAGGTTTCATACTTGAAAATGATTGTTTGGTACTTTGATTGGATCCAATATTTTTGTTTTTAAGTATTATCTAATTTAATTACACTCATTTGAAAAGTATAAGTTAGCTTCAAATTGGATACCACCCTTAAAATCCAAACTTCTTACAAGACAAAGAGGTGACTAAAGAGAGGAAGAAAGAATCAAAAATGGACACCGTCGGCCGGTTTCTACTTCATATTACTTTGTTCTTGTGGTCTATGACTGCGGTAGAAATAGCAGCAACATTAATAGCACCCGTATCAATGCCTGGTTGTCCATCGTATTGTGGTCAAGTCGATCAAATCCCGTATCCTTTTGGAATTGGAACCGGTTGTTACCTTGATGATTGGTTCCAAATAATCTGCGACAACTCCACCAGCCCTCCAAAACCTTTCTTGAACTCTACCGGTCTAGAGGTGCTCGAAATCAATATTGAAGGCACACTAAAGGTGGCGAGCCCTGTTACCTTCTCCAATTGTAGTCACAAGCCATCAGGCCGCCAGACAGCAAACTTAGAGGGAAGCCCTTTTGTGTTCTCCCAGAAGAACAGATTCACTTCAATGAGTTGTGGAGGAATTGGCTTGATGACATCCTTATCCGGATCAACAATTGGAGGCTGCTTGTCCATATGCGACGATACTAGTAATGCTTTAAGAAATAACAGTTGCAGTGGGCTGAATTGCTGCCAGACCACCATTCCTTCATCTCTTAGCACCTTCCGTACTAGTTTCGGTGAAATAACAAATGCGGAGAGAGCAAAATTATGCAAGTATGCTTTCCTAGTAGACCAAGATTGGTTTACATCAGATTCAACTAATATTTCAGACATTGGTCACATGGACAATGTCCCTATAGTTCTGGAATGGAAGTTTTTTAGCAATACGACTTTCAATATAAATGGAACGACAAATTTGACAGATATTGATAAGAACATGGATTGCTCCGGTGATAATTGCTTCTGCTCAAAGGGCTTCCAAGGAAACCCCTATCTTCTTCATGGATGTGAAGGTAAAACCTTTAGCTACAATTGTCCTTAATTTGTATATAATACATGCACAAATTGAATTTCTTTTTGACGTCTTCAATACGATAGATTTATTAGTATTTAAACCACTTTTTATGTGGCAATAAGAATAAGTCTTCAGGCACAAGGATCCTTAGCTAAATGATCTCTTGCAATTAAATTTTAGATATCGATGAATGTGAGGATCCAGTCCACTTCAACAGATGCATTCCCGGCATTTGTATTAATTATCCCGGGAGGTATCAGTGTGTATTCCCCGATCCACGACAGTCACGAGTTAAGCTGGCCATTATAGGTATATGCTCCTGAACTATCATAAACTACGATATCATTTTATTATTGATGAACTAAATTTAAAAACTGAACCTGAAACGTTCTTGACAAAAGTTTTGTGTCCTTTCTTGTTTTATTGACCTACTCAGTTCCCATCAGTGTTCTTGGACTATTGTTTCTACTAGTTGGTGCATGGTGGCTGCGCAAAGTCATAAAGAAAAGAAAAAATACTAAACGCAAAGAGAAGTTTTTTAAGCAGAATGGTGGTCTATTGTTGAAACAACAATTATCTTCAGGTGAAGTCAATGTTGAGAAGATTAAGTTGTTCAATTCCAAGGAGTTAGAGAAAGCCACAGACAATTTTAGTGCAGACAGAATTCTTGGTCAGGGAGGCCAAGGTACTGTTTATAAAGGAATGCTGGCGGACGGAAGAATAGTTGCTGTCAAGAAATCGAAAATAGTTGCTGGAGGTGAAGTTGGGCAGTTCATTAATGAAATTGTCATTCTTTCACAAATTTCCCACAGGAATGTGGTTAAACTATTGGGGTGTTGTTTAGAGACCGAAGTTCCCCTTTTGGTTTATGAATTCATACTCAATGGAACACTTTCTCAGTATATTCACCACCAAAATGAAGAGTTCCCCCTCACATGGGAAATGAGGTTGCGAGTTTCCATCGAAGTTGCAGGAGCTCTTTCCTACTTACATTCAGCAGCTTCCTTTCCCATTTACCACCGCGACATCAAGTCTTCTAACATACTCTTGGATGAAAAATACAGAGCCAAAGTAGCAGACTTTGGGACTTCAAGATCAGTTGCCATTGATCAAACTCACCTTACAACACGAGTACATGGAACATTTGGTTATCTGGACCCAGAGTACTTCCAATCTAGCAAATTTACAGAGAAGAGTGATGTTTATAGCTTTGGAGTGGTCCTTGCGGAGCTCTTGACAGGAGAAAAACCAGTTTCAGTTTTGAGTTCGCAAGAAAGCAGAAGCCTAGCAACTTATTTTCTTCTTTCTATGGAGGAGAATCGTCTATTTGATATTCTTCATGCTCGAGTAATGAAGGAGGCTGGGAAAGACAAGATTATGGCAGTTGCTAACCTTGCACAGAGGTGCTTGAATTTGAATGGGAAGAAACGACCCACCATGAAAGAAGTAGCAGCGGAGTTGGAGGCAATTCAATTGTCAGTTAAATTTTCTAATGTGCAACAAAAGTTTGCAGAAGTTCATTATGTTCGAAGTGAAATAACCGAGCCCTGGGATGTTGTTTCTATATCAACAGCTTCTTGTATGGATAGTGGCACAGGCTCTTCATTGGATGTACAACCACTATTGTCCTTCAAGTCATTCTGAGGAATAATTTCAACTTTCCATCCCCTTTCTTATATGAATCTTTCACATTGTAACATCTTTTTTGTTTCGAATATTTTGAGCTTGATTGTGCAGTATGGTAGTTTGGAGGTTAATTTAAGGTGCGGCAACTGGAAGTGGATAGCAATCCGTTGTGGCTTATGTCAACCTAGCTTGTTAATATATAATTCGTGTTCCCATAGTATCAGATGTGTTCTTCACTTTGAAACTGGTATGGGAGTGGCAGTAAGTTCAACCTCTCCTATTCTCTAGGTTGTTACTGCATAATGTTTCACCCATGTCACCGGCCAAAACATCCCCTTTTTAGGTGAGAAAGCCCATCGGTGAAGCACAGAACAAACACAGAGAATGCTAGAACATCCTAGAACTGTGCGGTCCCCGCTGTCGCCGGAAATCTCCAACGCCACCATCACCACCATCACCTGCTGCCCAGCGAACCAACCAATCAAAACCCTGGTGATGAAGGAAACCATTACACCAGCGCCCTGCAAACAACACCACAAAATCCACTCCCACAAAACCAAGGAACCCGATGGGAAAACACAACCCATCAGAGAGAGCACCAAGAAAGGCAAAGACGAGGAAGGAGGTGGTGCGAACACCCGAGCAAGAGCTCTACTCACCTTCCAATAAAGCCGCGACACACCGCGGTAAGAAGATGGGAGTGCAGATCGTGGTTGCTTGAGGGAGGGGGCGAAGTGGTCTGAGAAGGAGGGACGGAAACGAAGGGGGAAGAGACGGAGATGGAAGGAGCGAAAGGGAATCGGAATGTGGGGCTCAGATTGGGGAAATGGACAGGAAGAGGGGATGGAGAACAAGAGATCGGGAACAAAAGCAGGGAAAAACGCAGGTAGGAGAAAAGAAAAAGAAAAGGAAACAGGGGGTTGTATGGGTTTTAAAACCGGCTTGAGGAGATCCGCAAACGAAGAAAACTCAAACATATTGCAATTTTTGTATTTAATTTTACAAATGTACAAATCAAATTTTGACGATTTCATCCTGATATCAACCAAGTTGTATGTTAATTCTAAAGGATATATATATATATAGATACCTCACTAGAAAGCAATTTTTCCAGACAAATCATTGAGCAGATATTGGTAATATTCTGTCTCTGTTTTTGGTTATATATGAAAACATAATTAAACTCCAGGTTTTAAAATTTGCTTCCTAGATTTGTTTTGCTTAATGAGCTAAAATTTTCTCCATAGACTGAAGGTTCATCGCATCTGGAACATATTAGTAGTCAATCTTCATGGCGGAATCAAACATCATGCAAATCGGTGTTCAGAATTTTCAAATTTGAGTCTTTTACTATTTGAAGACGACTGCTATAGAATATACTAATTATGTATTAATTAGTCTTAAAGTTGCTCTGCGAAACATAACAAACGGGAAAAACAAGACCTGCACTTTTTACCTCTTCTTTTACATGTTTTTGGTTGCTCTTTCCGCGCACATATCCTATTTCCTCACTTACCATTTCAATAAAAATATTTATTTTTTATTTTTTATTTAGTACATTGATATTTTTACACTATGAGAGGGGAAAGTTCGGTTAAGCCGCACGATTGGCAACCTAAAATCTCTCACTCCCAAATGAAAAGGAATACCACAAGATCGTAATACTGAATGACATTTCAATAAAAATGTTATTGACAAGCTTATTGCATTGTAAAATGATATCGAAGGACCTGGTGGGCATAGAAACAATAGTACTCTCTTATACGAAACAAGGATGAGAGTTGACTTATCATTTTCTTTGTTTATTATTCCAAGGTTCACTACAAACGGTGTGAAACAATGTTCCCCTAATTTCTCTGGTAATTGTTGTATTTTCAAATTCAAAAATTCCAGTTTGACTCTTTAAAACTTGAGTTAACCCTTCTTTTTCGAAATTTTGTCTGTCAGCTTAGTTATGCAACTCTTGTATTTTTTTAATAGAGCTCCATTCTATGAAGTTTAGGTGAAAACTATCAGCGAAACCGGGTTGACTACTAGAACCATGTATGATAAATGAACTTTGACTTAGCCTCCAAGGACTCAGGAAAGTTTCAAGAATACATGAATTAGTATGCTTCTGAAGACAATTCATCCTTGATTAATAGTATAGATTAATGCAAAAAACCAAACAGCAGGAAGGGGGGAAAGAACTTTCTCTGAACACAATATATAAAGAGAGAAATATCTATATATGTACCTTGAAGAATTAGAAGAAGAAGCAGAATAATGGATTTTTTACAGTTTCTATTTCATATTACTCTATTATTTTTGTTTAAGAGTAGTGCAGTGCTAGCAGTACCATTATTAGCAAAGCCTAATTGCCAATCACGTTGCGGAGACGTTGAAATCCCGCACCCTTTCGGAATTGGAGCAGGCTGTTACATTGACGACTGGTTTCAAATAACATGTGTCAACTCAACCAAACCTTTCTTGAACAAGATCGATCTAGAGGTGCTGGAAATTTCTGTTAAAGGTACACTAAAGGTTGTAAACCCAATTACCTTCTCTTCCAACTGCAGTGCTAATAAGCCTATTCGCCAAGCGGCCAACTTGGAGGGAAGCCCTTTTGTGTTCTCCCAGAAGAACATATTCACTGCAATGGGTTGCGGCGTTATGGCCATGATCACTTCAAACTCAAATGGCTCTACCGTTTCAGCCGGTTGCAAGTCCGAATGTGACAATATTTCAACAAATGTGAAAAAGAATGGAGTTTACTTCTGCCAGACCCCCATCCCTTGGTTTCTCTCTGCCTTCAATACTACTTTCCAGGTTTATGATGATTATACAAAAAGTACTAATTCATGCAGTTATGCATTTTTGGTAGACCATGACTGGTTTCAGTGGTTTCCCAACAATTCAACAAAAAATATTTCTACCATCAGTGACATGGACAATGTCCCTGTCATGCTAGACTGGAACTTGTATCATTCGACGGTTGAGGTATTTGGAGTCATGGTAAAAGTAAATCCGATATCTTTGGGTTCCGAATCATCCTTCTATTGCCAAAGTCATAATGACAGCTCTTCAATACATGAATCCTCAATCAGGCTGGAATGTTTCTGCAATTGGGGCTATGAGGGAAATCCCTATCTCCCACAAGGATGTCAAGGTAAACAATTCTAATTTATAATTTTATAAATCAACAAATTCCATCCTTCTTTGTTTGTCTACCTTCTCTACTTTCCATTTTGATTTTAATGAGCAGGAAATTTACAACATTATTAACTTTTCTTTTTCATTACAAAATATTGCAGACATAAATGAATGTGAGGCTGGGAACCATTGTACTGGAGGCTCCATATGTAAGAACCATGTTGGGTATTATGAATGCTACCCAACACATAGAAATTCTTGGCTTAAAGTGGTCTTTATAGGTATGCCCTTGTCTCCCCACACTACGATATGTAAAATATATTCTGCTTTCTTCTATAGTAACTTTTCTTCTTATTTACATAACGCAAGGATTGTTTGTGCATGAAGTTAGTTCTTTATAGATCGATATTGTAATGATACTGTAGAAAATATGTCGATAACATGGTTTTATAATTTGTTGTCAACAACGATATCGATGGCATTATCGACAACCAGTTTCCAGACTAATATGCATTGCCAATATTACAAATAGCTATCCCTTGACCTTTATAAAAAGAAATAAATATCTTCTTGACCTGGTTAATATTCTTATGTTACTCAGCTATATTTTCAGGTATCGGCATCGGTCTTGGGCTATTGTTTCTACTCGTTGGTGCTTGGTGGTTGTATAAAGTCGTTAGAATTAAACTCAAGGAGAAGTTTTCGCAACAAGATGGCAGTTTATTGATGGAACTACAGCGTTTATCTTCTGGTGAAGTCAACTTGGATAATTAAAAATGTTCAAATTAGTTTACGAGTTAGAATGTATTATACATACAGAGTTTATAAAGGAATTGTTTGTTTGTCAAATGGAAGAATTAAAAAAGTCTAAAATAGTTTGTGGAGGCTAATTTAAGTTAGAAGCCAATGGAAACGAAATTTCATTTTCAATCCTCAATTTTTAATTCCATTTCGCTTGATAAAAGAAAACTGAATTTTTTTTTTTTATACCAGCGGCATTGGGGAGGGGAATTCGAAGTTAAGACCTCGGATGCAAATATAAGCTAATACCAAATAAGAAGGGACCTTTGCCCACTCTTTTAAACACGGGGCTTGTCCACCGTAATCTTGGGGTATTTTTCCCTTTGGTTTTAATAAACAACAACAACAACAAAGTATTTTCCCACTAAGTGGGGTCGGCTATATGAATCCTAGAACGCCATTGCGCTCGGTTTTATGTCATGTCCTCCGTTAGATCCAAGTACTCAAGTCTTTTCTTAGGGTCTCTTCCAAAGTTTTCCTAGGTCTTCCTCTACCCCTTCGGCCCTGAACCTCTGTCCCGTAGTCACATTTTTGAACTGGAGCGTCAGTAGGCCTTCTTTGCACATGTCCAAACCACCGGAACCGATTTTCTCTCATATTTCCTTCAATTTCGGCTACTCCTACTTTACCTCGGATATCCTCATTCTCAATCTTATCCTTTCTCGTGTGCCCACACATCCCACGAAGCATCCTCATCTCCGCTACACCCATTTTGTGTACGTGTTGATGCTTCACCGCCCAACATTTTGTGCCATACAACATCGCTGGCCTTATTGTCGTCCTATAAAATTTTCCCTTGAGCTTCAATGGCCTACGACGGTCACACAACACGCCGGATGCACTCTTACACTTCATCCATCCAGCTTGTATTCTATGGTTGAGATCTCCATCTAATTCTCCGTTCTCTTGCAAGATAGATCCTAGGTAGCGAAAACGGTCGCTTTTTGTGATCTTCACTAGATTGCTCCGGTCATTAGTGTGGATAAGTATATAAATGGATAGAGATAGGAAAGCAAACACAAGATGTACGTGGTTCATCCAGATTGGCTACGTCCACGGAATAGAGGAGTTCTCATTAATTGTGAAAGGTTTACGCAAGTACATAGGTTCAAGCTCTCCTTTAGTGAGTCAAGTGAATGATTTAGTACAAATGACATTAGGAAATATTGTGGGAGAATGATCTCGTAATCACGAAACTTCTAAGTACCGGAGTGTGGTATCGTCTTGACTTGCCTTATCTGTCTCATAGGTAGATGTGGCATCTTCTCTGGAAGTACTCTTCCTCCATCCAGGGGTGGTATCTTTAACTGGTGGAGATGCACAAGGTAATGTATCAATTTCACTTGAAGCTTACTTGTAGTTTCAGGCTTGGTCAAGCGCGATACAAACCATGTAGTAGGAGTCCCCCAAGTCGCCGAGCTAGGGGATCTGCTGAAAGAGGTGACAGACAAGGTAAGCAATCAGAGCTCCGACTGATTGTTCACATTCTCCCTATCTTGCAGGCAGCATGAAGGATAAAGAGAAGAAAAATGAGAAGAGATGATATGGGATACTTTTGCTTTTGAAGAAGTAACTTTCCACAGGCTTATTCTTGAACTGGGCTGGAGGGTTTTCTGGTTTCCTCCAGAGTATAAGGCCGACTGAAGAATTTGAGGGTCAAAACAAGTCCATCAAATCTAGAGTACGTTCGACCCTGCTGATATGGGATACTTTTGCTTTTGACAGAGTAGTGGATGTATCGGCACGTGTGCTGTTACGCTTATCTCCACATGCTTCCTTGTATCCTTCTCACTTGCCCTATCTGTTCCTCAGGCAGATGCGGTATCTTCCCTGGAAGCATAAAATGTTGAAGATAAGTACTCGAGAGCAATGCCAGGTAAGTAATCAGGTAAGGGGTTCCAGGCAGTCAGTTCCTGGCTGGACGCTTGATTCCAAGTGCTGACTGATTGCTCTCTTTCTCCTTGTCTTGCAGGTAAGAACAAGGCCAAAGGAAAAGACAGGGAAAAAGCATGATATGGGATACTCTTGCTTTTAACCCTGATGATATGAGATATTCTTGCTCTAGTATAGCTTGTTTGCAGAGGTATTATCGGGGGGAAAGAAAGCTGAATATTTCGAAAGGCTTCGTTGGGAGTGCCCTCTCAGATAAGAGGAAGGGTTGAGCATTTTTGCAGGTCTGCCTGTCCGTTGGGGATGGAGGTCGACATATATAGGAGTCTCCCTAACATCAAGTAATAATGCTATTCATTTACCCTGCTTGGTCATAGCACGGCAGTGGGAGCTGCCAGCTTCACATGTTTTAACTCTGTCAGAGCATTTTGAAAAAGTGGTCTGTGGTATCTGGAAAGCTGATGTTGCGTGTGAAGATTACAAACAAGTTTTATCCAAGGAGATCCAGCTCTTGAAGTTAGGAAAGTGGTGCCTCTTCGGTTTTCGAACAAGCAATCCTGTCGGGGATTTGGCTCTCGAGATTCGGAGAACGATGCCTCTTCGATTTTTGAGAAAGCAATCATGCTGGGGGTCTGGCTCTCGAGATTCGGAGAGCGGTGTTTCTTCGATTTTTGAGAAAGTAATCATGTTGGGAGTCTGGCTCTCGAGATTCGGAGGGCGGTGCCTCTTCGATTTTGGAGCAAGCAATCTTGTTGGGAGTGTTTTCTCGAATGTGAGTAAAGGTTGGGCATGTTTGCTAGTCTACCTTGCCACGAAGCACAGAGGTTGACACACAGGGACTTTCCAATTATCCAGCAGTGGTACTGTTCCTTTACCCTCTCTTCGATTTTTGAGAAAGTAATCATGTTGGGAGTCTAGCTCTCGAGATTCGGAGGGCGGTGCCTCTTTGATTTTGGAGCAAGCAATCTTGTTGGGAGTGTTTTCTCGAATGTGAGTAAAGGTTGGGCATGTTTGCTAGTCTACCTTGCCACGAAGCACAGAGGTTGACACACAGGGACTTTCCAATTATCCATCAGTGGTACTGTTCCTTTACCCTCTCTTCAATTTTTGATAAAGTAATCATGTTGGGAGTCTGGCTCTCGAGATTCGGAGGGCGGTGCCTCTTCGATTTTGGAGCAAGCAATCTTGTTGGGAGTGTTTTCTCGAATGTGAGTAAAGGTTGGGCATGTTTGCTAGTCTACCTTGCCACGAAGCACAGAGGTTGACACACCGGGACTTTCCAATTATCCAGCAGTGGTACTGTTCCTTTACCCTTGTGGGTAATAATATGGTAGCTAGACCTTCAAAATTTATGTGTCTAAACTTTGTTAGTGTTGTTTCTTTGCTATTCTTTTACCCTTCTTGGTCAGAGCGATGTAGTGGAGCTGCAAGCTTCACGTGTCTCAACTTTGTCAGAGAACTTTGGCAAAGTTATCTGTGGTACCCATGAGTTACTGTTGCGTGTGGGAAGTGGGTGATTGAACAGTACAATTCATGTGCTTTCTACTTCACCATAAATCTTCGACAGAATGCCCATAATTTCCGCAAAGCTGAGTGTGCGTGTGACAGGTGCTGACAAGGCTGGAAAAGTAGGTGCCTCTTCGATTTCTGAGATCGGCCATCGTGGTCTCTGAGCAGCCCAACTTTTGAGAAAGCAAGCTTCTTCGATTTCTGAGATCAGCCTTCGTAGTCTTTGAGCAACCCAGCTTTTGAGAAAGCAAACGCCTCTTCGATTTCTGAGATCGACCCTCGTGGTCTTTGAGCAACCCAGCTTTTGAGAAAGCAAACGCCTCTTCGATTTCTAAGCAGGCGCCTCTTCGATTTCTGAAGCTTCGTCGAGTGCAGATTTTTATAGGGGCTGGCATTAAGTTCCAAAGCACACTTGAATCTCCACCAGTAGAAGCTCCATTCTTGCACTTCTAAGATCTTGATTTGTCCGACCTCTTCTCTCTTCAACACCTTTGAAAATGTCTGGCCCCTCCGACCGTCGTTTTGACTTGAACCTTGTTGAAGAGGCAGCCCCGCCTTCTCCAGACAACATATGGCGCCCATCCTTCGTCTCCCCTACTGGTCCTCTTACCGTTGGAGATTCCGTGATGAAGAATGATATGACCGCTGCGGTAGTGGCCAGGAACCTTCTCACTCCCAAAGATAACAGACTACTTTCCAAACGGTCTGATGAGTTGGCTGTTAAGGATTCTCTGGCTCTCAGTGTTCAGTGTGCAGGTTCTGTGTCTAATATGGCCCAACGCCTATTTGCTCGAACCCGCCAAGTTGAATCATTGGCGGCTGAAGTGATGAGTCTCAAACAGGAGATTAGATGGCTCAAGCATGAGAATAAACAGTTGCACCGGCTCGCACATGACTATGCTACAAACATGAAGAGGAGGCTTGACCAGATGAAGGAATCTGATGGTCAGGTTTTTACTTGATCATCAGAGATTTGTGGGTTTATTCCAAAGGCATTTATTGCCTTCGTCTTCTGGGGCTGTACCGCGTAATGAAGCTCCAAATGATCAACCTCTGATGCCTCCTCCTTCTAGGGTTCTGTCCAGTACTGAGGCTCTGAATGATCCCCCTCCGGTGCCTTCTCTTTCTGGGGCTCTACCGACTGCTGAGACTTCTCCTAAGCAACCTTTGTGAAGGCTCCCTCTTGTTTGTTTATTTTGACTCATGTATATGTACATATTTGTAACTTATCGGGGATATCAATAAATAAGCTTTCCTTCATTTCAACGTATTGTGTTAAATACACCAAAGCCTTCTTCGCTAAGTTCTTTGAATTTTCTTTTGTTGAAGCTTGTATGTTGAAGCTTTGTGAGTGGAGCATGTAGGTTGAGGTAGTGTTCCCTTAATTTCCCGAGTGAGGAAAACTTCTCGGTTGGAGACTTGGAAAATCCAAGTCACTGAGTGGGATCGGCTATATGAATCTTAGAACGCCATTGTGTTCTGTCCTGTGTCATGTCCTCCGTTAGATCCAAGTACTCTAAATCTTTTCTTAGGGTCTCTTCCAAAGTTTTCCTAGGTCTTCCTCTACCCCTTCG